GATCTTGTACAGTTTAATGATTACACAGTGCCGTACCTTCACCAAGAAGAAGCGGTCATACGGTTTTGAAGACCAAGGCATATTAACTTTTAAGTAGAGTCTTAGTGATAGTTAGCTCGACTTAGATGGGAGGCATACGATATTGGAGTATGGGTGGGGTATGTCAGAAAACATTCTGAAACGCTACTTAAATGGAAGCATCATATAGAAAAAGACGTAAAGGCTCAACCTGGCTCATTTCCTCTCTGAACGCAATATATTCGTCCCACAATGTCAACGCGGGTGTTCCCCAGGGATCGGTTTTGCCTCCTCTTACATATCAACTACCTCCTTTCCTTTACGATCAATCGGATCCCAGCTTTACTGATGACAACACTCTACAATCTTGTACAGTTTAATGATTACACAGTGCTGTACCTTCACCAAGAAGAAGCGGTCATACGGTTTTGAAGACCAAGGCATATTAACTTTTTAGTAGAGTCTTAGTGATAGTTAGCTCGACTTAGATGGGAGGCATACGATATTGGAGTATGGGTGGGGTATGTCAGAAAACATTCTGAAACGCTACTCAAATGGAAGCATCATATAGAAAAAGACGTAAAGGCTCAACCTGGCTCATTTCCTCTCTGAACGCAATATATTCGTCCCACAATGTCAACGCGGGTGTTCCCCAGGGATCGATTTTGCCTCCTCTCACATATCAACTACCTCATTTCCTATACGATCAATCGGATCCCAGCTTTACTGATGACGACACTCTACAATCTTGTACAGTTTAACGATTACACAGTGCCGTACCTTCACCAAGAAGAAGCGGTCATACGGTTTTGAAGACCAAGGCATATGAACTTTTTAGTAGAGTCTTAGTGATAGTTAGCTCGACTTAGATGGGAGGCATACGATATTGGAGTATGGGTGGGGTATGTCAGAAGACATTCTAAAACGCTACTCAAATGGAAGCATCATATAGAAAAAGACGTAAAGGCTCAACCTGGCTCATTTCCTCTCTGAACGCAATATATTCGTCCCACAATGTCAACGCGGGTGTTCCCCAGGGATCGGTTTTGCCTCCTCTTACATATCAACTACCTCCTTTCCTTTACGATCAATCGGATCCCAGCTTTACTGATGACAACACTCTACAATCTTGTACAGTTTAATGATTACACAGTGCCGTACCTTCACCAAGAAGAAGCGGTCATACGGTTTTGAAGACCAAGGCATATTAACTTTTAAGTAGAGTCTTAGTGATAGTTAGCTCGACTTAGATGGGAGGCATACGATATTGGAGTATGGGTGGGGTATGTCAGAAAACATTCTGAAACGCTACTTAAATGGAAGCATCATATAGAAAAAGACGTAAAGGCCCAACCTGGCTCATTTCCTCTCTGAACGCAATATATTCGTCCCACAATGTCAACGCGGGTGTTCCCCAGGGATCGGTTTTGCCTCCTCTTACATATCAACTACCTCCTTTCCTCTATGATCAATCGGATCCCAGCTTTACTGATGACAACACTCTACAATCTTGTACAGTTTAATGATTACACAGTGCCGTACCTTCACCAAGAAGAAGCGGTCATACGGTTTTGAAGACCAAGGCATATTAACTTTTTAGTAGAGTCTTAGTGATAGTTAGCTCGACTTAGATGGGAGGCATACGATATTGGAGTATGGGTGGGGTATGTCAGAAGACATTCTGAAACGCTACTCAAATGAAAGCATCATATAGAAAAAGACGTAAAGGCTCAACCTGGCTCATTTCCTCTCTGAACGCAATATATTCGTCCCACAATGTCAATGCGGGTGTTCCCCAGGGATCGGTTTTGCCTCCTCTTACATATCAACTACCTCCTTTCCTATACGATCAATAGAATCCCAGCTTTACTGATGACAACACTCTACAATCTTGTACAGTTTAATGATTACACAGTGCCGTACCTTCACCAAGAAGAAGCGGTTATACGGTTTTGAAGACCAAGGCATATTAACTTTTTAGTAGAGTCTTAGTGTCATTTGTACCCTAAGGTTATCTAAAGAAGATTAATGGTAGCTGTCAGTTTGTGAGAAGCGACAACAAATCTATTGATATTCGAGCACCATTCCACACTCCTAGACCTGTGTGTAGAAGAGCAGGAAGCAGTGCAACATCGCAAGGTCGAGAACCAGAACAGACTATAGAGATATTGTTAATCAACCGAAAAACCATCCCACCAATTTCCAATTATCTTTTGAATACCTGTTTCACTGCTCTCGCTGCAAGAAACGTACGGTCAGGCAACCATAATGGAATTGTAGTCGAGCGTTGTTAGAAACAGGAATAGATAAAGGGCATATCTAATTAGACGCCCAATTGGACTATTAATAGACAGAGGCACTGCTGATGGGCTCAAAGAAGCACACACCTAAAAAAACTAGGTACGTTATTAAGTGCTGCTAAAATTGATACTAAAGCCATTTGTGCGTCAATACCAATATAGATATTACACAGAGAGAGCTGACTAGATTCCTACTCACATGTCATTTTGGTAAGTAGTAAAACTCTTCGCCAAAAAAGAGACAATATCACAAAACCACTGTATCTATATGGTTGAAATTTAACCAATGTTTCTCCTAACCTTAAGGCAGTTAAAAATCTTGACCGTTCAAAAATAGATCCACTGTCTATACGTAAATCTCCAAAGTATAAACCGTTGCATTAAAAAATAAAAAATCGATTCATTGATCGCTCACTTTAATAGATTGTATCTAATTAGCTCTTTAATTCTACATCAAGTTGTGGGAATGTGGGATTCGTCAATTTTTCTGCGCGAGTCAAGTTTCCTTATACAGAACGAAGATTATATGTGTGACATAAATGAGGAAATGATTTGAATTAAATAAGGTTGCGTAAGAAAAGTGAGTCTTCGACACGTTGGATTGGAATGCAGTAGGTTGGTTTTAATGGTTTGCAATCATCAGTTTTGGTGATCAAAAGCAACCAATATGGCCCAGTCTAACCTCACTGTATGCTGAAGGAAATCGATAGAACTTTGACTGAAACGTTAAGAATCTAACAATTAAAAAACAGACTAGAGACTATATGATAACAACATCCAAGGACACAACAAGCATCGCTGTCCATCAATATTCCTACCATTAGAGGAAAGCAAATTCAACTACATATCAACTACATCAAATGTAAACAAAGTAAAGAAAGAATCAAGTGTTACAAATGAAGAAACAACACAAACTGAGACTGTCTTTAAACAGACTCATCGTGATTGTGGTATGGTGTGCAGCATGATAGAAGATTTTAACAGCATTATTTTAAAAAAATCGCCAAGAACATTCACACAGATAGTGTTCATAAATATCTATATTGATGAACAACCAAGTAGGAACCCAAAAACATTTCAGGCATTGAAATCACCGATAGATCTCCAACAGCAGATAAAAGTAATGTGTTGCAACCAAACTACTGGCTATCGCTTAACTGTAACTTCTTCAATATCCTTTATAATTGGGAGTAATAAAAGTTTTACGATCAAAGATCGTTATAGACTTTCTTTAGAAGTAATGAATACCCTTTATTGATTATTTAACTTGAAATATAACACAAGGAATATAGTTTATTGCCTAGCATTCTGATTTACTCGAGAGACCTTTCACAAATTTGAAGCCGAGACTATAAAACCGCTTTAATGGTTTGAAAAGTGAAGTAAAAAGAATGGTCAGTGACGAAAAAAGATGATGTGGGGCAAAAGTCACATAAAAGACAATATAAGAGCAATGTTAACACCTTTTAAAAAAACTTGCTGAATATGAGTCTTCGATAAGTAAATGTTGAATTGGTGATTGAAAGAATGGAAGAGAGAACAAAAGGTAAAACGAAAATATGAATATTGTTAGAGCAAAATGAAGAGCCATAGAATGTAATGTGACGATACCAGACAGAATTAAAAAAGAATTACTAACATTTTGGCTGTTTCTTGATATAGTGAAGATCTAGACCTGGTAAGACTCCATTGTTACAACCGATAAATTGACAATTGGCCAGAAAAGCATAAGGTCCATCATCATAAAAATCACAAAATAGGATCAGTTACATTACCTGGGTTAATATGACACTGGTCGAAGACTTACCAACACAATTGAAGAAGTAAAAAGCTTCTTCAAATAAGCCCCTTTCACAAGTTTTCAGAGTTCTTCGTCAAGTGGTAAAGATATGCAGTGCTAGGCATTAGTTATATAAAATCTTTCCTGTGGTTTTAAAACTGGAGATAAATGACTAAAATGAAATAGTCAGTCATGGGGCAAAAGATTCCCAATAGTGTAAAAATTGACATCGAAAAGGGTGTAAATGATATAAAAGACCATATAACACAGATGGTATTGTAAAGAGCAATAAAAAAAAGCTCAGTTGATATGTTGCATTTGGATATATTAACAGATAACTTGCTTTTTATTGTTATTGTCATTATCAAGCAAAATCGCTGAATATGAGAGTCATCGATAAATACATGTTGAGTTGGTGATTGAAGCAATATAAGAGAGAAAAAAAAGTGAATGGAAAATGTGAATATTGCAAAAACAAAATGAAGAACTATAAAGGATAAGATGAGGATATCAGGTACAATTAATAAAGAGTTACTGCAAGTTATAGTGAAGATCTGTGCCTGGTCAGTGTCAGTTACCTCATCTAAGCCTGGGTTGATATGCCATTGGACGCAGACCTATCAAAATAATTGAAGAAGTAAAAAGCTCCTTCGAATGGAGGATGAAAAAAATTCGCTATAAAATCTTTGAAAGTAGTTTTGAGAATTCTTCGTCAAGTGGCAAAGATTTCGCGACAGGATAAGTCTCTGTATACAAAGACCTGCAAAATCTGATTCATCAAACAGATCCTCCCGTATTCGGGTACTTATCCATTGCACAGCAGGTACAACACCAAAAACCTCACTTCTCCACTCACTATCACTAAGAACCGCCACCACCGCAAATCACCCGTAGATCCCTACCTGGAAACAGCTCCCAGCTAGTACGACGAACGCCAGCACCAGGACGTGGAACAACCCTCCATGGAGGCGGCAGTACGCGGCCCGCGACGTGGTACTGGAACCACCGGCACGTTCACACGGCAGCACACAAAACATCGTCCACTCTCGAAGGCACCCTCATCGATAGGGCACCCCTTAGCACTGTCCACGAGTCTCACTGAGAACGGAACGCACACTTCAGCGACAGAGCAGCGATGCGACCCGGTCGGAGTGTCGGCGACTACTGGAGGCGCGCGCAGTCGCGAACCGCCGTGCCCCCTCCCCTTCGCGCTAGCGCGATGACGCCACAGGGCCAGCATCCATATGGACCAATCAACGATCGCTCTGGGGCTTCCTTTGTGCCTCCGTGCTGCTTCTGCGGACGACGCGCGGATCCGCTTCGGGCCGGCCACTTGTTGCGCTGTGCACCCGTTGCCACCTGTTTCAGGATAATCCGAGAGAATTCGCCGAGGGTTAGGCTTGATCAAATATACTTCGGACGAACCGCGATATCTTGAAGTATAAAACAGTACAAGCTCATTTTTTCAACAAGAAACCACGCACGGCTATTGCCAGTCTTCTTATAGCTACACGTATAGATCTGATTTGTCAATGTAAGGAGTCTGAATATAGTAAAGTAATTTGGATTACCAAAGGATTAGTCTGCATTTTTATTGTAAAGCTTCTGGATTAATGTATCGAATTCATATTTTAGTGTAGGCATTCAAAATTATTTTCAAAGTGTCCAGTTATGGATGAAGCCAACTTTAAGCCGCGCACTCTCTTGTGATCGCTGTTATTCAGGAACATCTCACATATACGTTGTGACTCTAGGTCATAACAGTATCAGTTTTTTACCATCCTCCATTGTCTGGTATCGGTTTAATGTGAGTTTAATGCAAAAAAAAACAAAAACGATGTAAAAACGTAACCTAACAATCTTGACACATTATCATTTTTGTTATCCACACTATTTCGGAGCGTATAACACCGAATAAAAAGCTGGTGCATCAGGGGCAGGGTATTGACATGATGACGTTGCTGAATCTAAAATCAACAATATAAAAAGTAAAATTAACGACAAAATAAAGCTCCTCAGAAATGACTATTTCAGGAAGAAGTAGGTGTAGTCCTTTAAGTATTTCTAAATTATTATCTACGCATCAACTATTTGATATTGTTCACTGATTGTGTATATTTGTCGCCAAGAAGTGTTTGAATGCGGACTTTACAAAAATATCTTAATACATAATAGACATGTCATCTGCACAACCAATAATTTTCCCATCAATATTCAATTCAAAAAGAACATTAACGTAAAGATTATATGAAGCTGGTCCTAACACAGTTCCTTGTGGAACTCCATGCCTAACGCCTTCACTTAGTGAGTTATTGATATTTGCATTATAATTTTTTGACAGCAACTTTTGAAATCTGCATCCTTAATTTTCCTCTTATACCGAGTTTGGTTTACGTGTAGCTAAAATATCGCTTTAAGAGGCTCCAATGTTTGAAGGCGTACTAGTAAAAAAATTTAGAAGAACTTGCTGTTGCTCTAGCTTCCTGTTATGCTCAAAACGGCGGTTGAAGTTTTTATAACTTGAACGATGTTAACTAGATGCAGGAATGCGTGTTCGTGCTCATCAAACTGAATTCTGTTAAATAAATATTATCTTGAAGAAACTAGGTATATCGTGTCGTTTACGCAAAAACTTCTCGAATCGTATGAAACGTTTTACAGCTTCCTATATCGTAAACGTGGAATAAACATAATTCTGCCATCAAAATTATGCTCTTGTCTCGTATTGAAATATATACAGTTCATCGGCTTTTCGACCATGGTCGCTGCACGTTCACCTCAATCTAGGAATTCTACATCGTTGTATATTCTGAAAGTAAAGCAAAGCTTCTGACGTGTTGAAATTATTCGACGTTCCAGGTACTTTTACTTGAGGGTTCCTTATTTTAGGAATGTTTCGCTGGCCTTGAGATGTCACACATGGGGGTGAGCGTTTTTTTGGTCGCTGAAACCGAATCCGGGGCTCATTCAGTCCGGAAATAATCGAGATACTGACAGAAATCCCTACTAATGAAAAATATCAAAGAGTTGTTGCGTATCTACGATCTGGATAGGTGTATCGGGTGCGTAAATTCCGAATTTGATGTGCATTTATACTAAGTGACATATAAATCCGAACACCCAGTTTAAATGGTTTTATTTTAATAAAATTTTGTATAAGTACTTAATGAAGCATAATAAGTAAATGATAAAAATTTCAAAATGATTGCACTGCTTTAAAGCCCTTTGACCTTTAATAATGTGTAGATGCACCGTGATGTGCTACGCATTCTCCAACGCGCCTAGGCATGCTTCTGATCAGGTGGTCAATGTCCTCCTGTGGTATCTCATTCCAGGCAACCACCAACTCCTCTCGAAGTGCTTCTAGAGTCTGAGGAGGACGTTGCAAATTGAGCAATCTCCTACCCATCATATCCCACACGTGCTCAATTGGGGATAAGTCGGGAGATCTTGGTGGCCATGGTAACAATGTGACATCATTATGTTGAAAGAAGTCTATTGTGACTCTTGCAACATGTGGTCGGGCATTATCTTGTTGGAAAGTTGGATCTGCCAGGGTGTCAAGATAGGGTAAAAGATGGGGTTCTAGAACTTCGTGGATATAACGCTGCGCGTTCATGTTACCTCTGATGAAGATTAAAGGTGACCTGGAACCATAAGCTGTAGCACCCCAAACCATAACTCCAACAGTGTGATGAACATGTCTTTCAACAAAAAACTGTGGATTCCTCCTTTCACCACGTCGCCTTCTAACCCTGGCACGACCATCGTGCATGCCTAAACAAAATCGAGACTCGTCACTAAAGACAATACTGTTCCATTCCTGATCCCAGAGTGACCGTTGTCTGCACCACTCAAGGCGATTACGTCGGTATTCTCGAGTTAAAGGGAGGACCCAGTGTGGCCGGTATGAAAACAAGTCAAAACTTCTCATTCGTCGGTAAACACTTCGCATGCCAATAGGTCTTCCGTGTTCTGCAAACCATTCATTTGCAATGGACCTGGTAGTGGAGAAACGGTCCCTTAAGGCCAATAATCTTAGGCGGCGATCTTCACGGTCTGTTGTTCTACGGCGGCGTCCAGTGCTCCTTGCTCTTTGCGTACGGCCTTCTCGAAGCCATGCCTGACAACACCTAGCCACAGTGTCTACACTTACTTACTTACAGGTCTCCGTACTCTAGATATCGTAACCGATCGTAAAGGATGTCAAGAACCAAAATCCGCCAAAGTTGATTCTTTACTGCGGCTGAAATATTCATTTTTAGAGCGTTAGTGAATTAAAAAAAAGCAGTATAAAAACCGGAATGTCCAACTGATAAGGCTGAAAATTTTTTCACTTGTTACTAGCTTTTTACCAATTTTTCACCTTCAATTCGGTACTATGACCTTTCAATGTATTTTAAGATATTTCAAAATTTTGGAATTTTGATGATTTTGGAAATAATGTGGATTTTGGAAATTTTGGAAATCTCGGAACTTTTGAAGATTTTGGTAATTTTGGAAATTTTGAAAATCCTAGAAATTGTTGAACTAGGAAATTTTGGATGTTTATGAAATTTTGGAAATGTTGTAAATTTTGTAAATTTTGGAAGCTTCAGAAATTTTATAAATCTTAAAAATTTTGGAAATTTTTGAATTTGTGGATTTTGATAATTTTGGGAATTTTGAAAATCCTAGAAATTTTGGAAATTCAGGAAATTTTGGATGTTTTGTAAATTTTTCAAATTTTGGAAATCTCAGAAATTCTAGAATGTTGGAAATGTTGATAATTTTGGTTATTTCTGAAATTTTTGAGATTCTGGAACTTCTAGAAATCCTTGAAGTTTTGGAAATAATGTAAATTTTAGAAAATTGGGAAATTTTGAAAATTTTTCAAGTTTAGAAGGTTTTGTAAATTTTAGAAGTTTTTGAAATTTTGGAGATTTGGAAATTTTGAAAATTTCGGAAATTTTTGAAATTTTGCTAATTTTGGGAATTTTGAAAATCTCAGAAATTTTGTGAATTCGGGAAATCTTGTATATTTTGTAAATTTTTCAAATTTTAGATGTCTCAGAAATTCAAGAATCTTGGAAATTTTGATAATTTTGGAAATTTCTGAAATTTTTGAGATTCTGGAACTTCTGGAGATCCTTGAAGTTTTGGAAATAATGTAAATTTTAGAAAATTTGAAAATTTTGTAAATTCTGAAAGTATTGTAAACTTTGGAAATTTTGGAGATTTGGGTATTATGGAAATGTTTGTAGTTTTGGATCGGTTAAAGATTCTGAAAATCTTGAACCCTCAATGGTCAATCGTAACCCTTGAGGGTTGACTATAAATGTGGGCCTAAGTATCTTCCTTCGCCAACGATTCTAAAGACCGGTTTTGTAAAAATCCGCACCTTCGACGAGGTCATTATGAAAGTTATCGAATTTTACGGAGGATTTCGTTAATCGCCGAACGGTACTTATCTTCTATTTTGTCGGACGAGACTTTGCCAAAACGGCGGTGACAAGAAGATTTTTTAGTAAGAGATAAGTTAATTAATATTAGCTTATTATAATCCTCACCTGTCACACTTATTGCATACCTGACGGAGATGATACAAATGATACATGACATATGAAATTGGATAGATTAGATATTGAAATACGTTTTAATAATATGATTACGAATATGACCTGAGCTGGAATTTGGACCCAAAGACCGTATGAGTATTTACCTAGTAATACTGGACAGGCAGAGCCTGAAAAGCGTAGATTCAGGATCATTACCATCAATTTCAAATGATGGTGAAAGTGTCGATAATATTTGCCTAACACTTCAATAGTGTGAATTTTACTCTCAAATTCAGAAAGGAGGTTATAGATTCACGTTACGTTTCCATATCTCTTGCCATAAGTTTGTTTTGTATAGTAAATTTAATTTCAACGTCCACTGCTATCTACTTAATTGGTTCTTCAATTAAATATTTAATCCGTGCAAAACCATGATTAGCCAAACTTTATGCAGTTCAGTAGATCACGAAAATCGCATCTAGCTATCCGTGGATTTCGTCAGAAAAAAATGAGAGGCCAGCAGCGTTCAGCAAATTAAATCAGAACAATACCAGTTGAGCAAGTCCGAACACGCGAACGTTGTTGCCGTTTTCTAGCGAAAACCTCGCATCCATCGGAGAAACT